TCTCCTGAGAAATCTATATGTGGGACAGGAAGCAACAGTTAGAACTGGATATGGAAACACTGGTTGTTTCAAAATTAGGAAAGGAGTACAAAAAGGCTGTATATTGTCCCCTTGCTTATTTAACTTATATGCAGAATACCTCATGAGAAAGGCAAGATGTCTGGCTCAAGGTCAGGCCGGACTGGAGGAATCCCAAACCGGAATTAAGATTGGCGGAAGAAATATCAACCACCTCAGATATGCAGATGATACCACTCTGATGGCAGAAAGTGTGGAGGAATTAAGGAACCTTGTAATGAGGGTGAAAGAGGAGAGTGCAAAAAATGGTTTGAAGCTCAGCATCAGAAAAATCAAGATCGTGGGCACTATCCATCATCTCCTACTAAATAGAAGAGGAAGATATGGAGGTAGTGACAGATTTTACCTTCTTGGGCTCCATGATCACTGCAGATGGTGACAGAAGCCCCGAAATTAAAAGACGCCTGCTTCTTGGGAGGATAGCGATGACAAACCTAGACAGCTTCTTAAAAAGCAGAGACATCACCTTGCCAACAAAAGTCCACATAGTCAAAGCTATGGTTTTTCCTGTAGTGATGTACGGAAGTGAGAGCTGGACCATAAAGAAAGCTGACTGCCAAAGAATTGATGCTTTTGCTGTGGTGCTGGAGGAGGCTCTTGAGAGTCCCCTGGAATGCAAGGTAAATAAACCTATCTATTCTAAAGGAAATCAACCCTAAGTGCTCACTGGAAGGAAAGATCCTGAAGCTGAGGCTCCAGTACTTTGGCCATCTCATGAGAAGAGAAGACTCCCTGGAAAAGACGCTGATGTTAGGAAAATGTGAAGACAGGAGGAGAAGGGGACGACAGAGGATGAAATGGTTGGACAGTGTCATTGAAGCTACCAACATGAATTTGACCCAACTCCGGGAGGCAGTGGAAGACAGGAGGGCCTGGCGTGCTTAGGTCCATGGGGTCACGAAGAGTCGGACACGACTAAACGACTAAACAACAACAGCATATCAAGTCATATTCTAGTTAAAGCATTGAAAAAATTTCCAGTGGAGACCTTCATCACTGCCAACTTCAGCTCTTTGGGAGTGGCAGAAATAAAGGCAGAAGAGTGCCCATCTCTGCTGTAAAATATGTAATATTAAGTGTTTTCATGTATCTCATTTTTAAAATTCTAAAATAACTAATTCTCAAGTTGCTGCTATATGTCTAGGGTTTAAACAAAGTGAGATTGCAATGTTAAATATTCTTTGGAATGCATCTTAATAACTTTGCATTGTCCAAGTATGTTTTAAGATGGGTGTAGTCAAGCTTTTCTACCCCCAAGAACTTGATGCAATCGTGAGCAGAAGGCAGTGTTTGTGTGTGCACGCACAGACATACATTCACGAAGATGCAAGCACAAACTCTTAATCTCCTCTCACATAATACAAGGAAGAAGTTGTTTAAACTGCCTTTGGTCTAGATGGGCGGGTTAGAAATTCAATAAAATAAATAAATATTTCCTTTTCTCCTAAACAGATCAGGGGGAGAGATTATACCAAAGTGAAAAATGAAAGTTGCCTGCTATCTGTGATCCCAGTCAGTATTGTTAATCAGCTGGTGGTACTAAAGAGTGTGTACTTGAGATGTGCATCCACAATTACAGATACACACATATACATGCCTAATATCAGCATCGGCGTAGTAGTCTTTTCCATGCTGTCAGCTGGGCTGAGAGGGCATTCTTGGTGCTTCCCAGATGTTCACAGCTCATACTAAGAACAGCTTGAAAGCTGTATTTGCCCCTCATGTCTTTAATGTTAACACTTTGCTCATCTGTACTAACCCTGTTGTAATAACTTTCTACATTTGTTCTAGGGTATGGCCAAGTTTATTGTTTCTCTGCAAGAGCAATTGGGCCTGCTGGATCAAGAAACTGATCAGAAATTAAGTGGAATCTCAGAGAATGATGGACAGTTGAAGAAGAGCATTAATGCTGTACAAAAAACATAAATACGTAAGATAACTTTTTACTTTGTTCCCTCTTTAACATCATCAAAACTCTATTCGAACATTACACAGACTTATCTTAATGAAGTGTTTTTATTACTGCCTAAATACGAATTCAAAAGTTGGAGCCCTGAAATTTTAGACTTGGATTCTAAAACTCAAATTCCAAACATATTTGAATGCATCATTCAGTAATACATAACCCATTTAGTTATAACATGCATTCCTGAGACAACGTACTGTTTAAGTGGAGTACAGGGGAATAAGCCCCATTGAATCCAGTGAGTTGTGCTTCCTTCCAAAAATATGTAGAGTTGCATTGGAAGGGTAATTGCGATCACTTGACCTTATTTAGACATAAGCAAAGGACATCTTATCAAATCCGCATGACGGAGTGAGCTCCCGTTGCTTGTCCCAGCTCCTGCCAACCTAGCAGTTTGAAAGCATGTAAATGCGAATAGATAAATAGGTACCACCACAGTGGGAACAGAGAGCCTGTTCTCTCACCATATTCTGCTGCATTTATTAATGCAACCATATAAAGCATGCTATTTGAAAAGTCAGAAGGCCATCTTGCGTCTAATTTTATGTGGGATTATATTTCAGTAGAGGACATGTCCATGATGTTTTCAAATTTCAGGTGTTCTGGATGCACCACTGTGCATGTACAGTTGGGGATATAGTTGTGTCCTGCCAATAAACTATGCATGGTGATATACTTTGCAGAATTGCGACCTGTCCAAAAAATGAAATTGATATTGAGTGTCTTCTGCATTGTGGCTAAAGTAAAATGAAAGATCATTTGTGCTATTTAACTTTACAGCATAAAAGGAGTGTCAAAAAGGATAAAGAGAACCAGACATCAGTCTTCCTAGAAAAGGCAAAAGAAGAAGATTCAGAAGACACATTGCTTTCAAGGTCAAAATATCTATAAAGAACCCAGAGCTAAAGAAGTCAAATGTTTTTGTTGCAATTTCTCTCCAGTCCTGCATGGCTTTTCAGCTTGAGCTGCACATATGGTGCTGTAGCATTGGTCTTATAAATTAACTGTAAAAAGATCTAGTAAATATCTCACCACTTTTTATACAATATAATATACTATTTTTTGCGATATTCAAACTTCATACTTTAGTTCTCTTAAATAAAGTTCTCAAAATGCACTGATATAAGGTTTCTTTTTCCCTTTGTAAGGAGAACTGAAATCCATAACGGGGGAAAAGAAACTGTACTGAGTTTTGTTTTTTTTAAAAAAACACATCTTGTTCTGTGTTGTCTGGATATCCTATGTTGGACTTTTGTGAAAGTGCCTTTTAGAGCAAAGGTATCGAATTTTGTTCCTCTTTACTTTGTGCTTCAGCTCCCATCACTCCTCTTTTTGGCCAGGGATGACTAGAACCAGTGAGAGCTGAAGTCTGACAATATTTGGAGGAATATTGGAAAGATGGAGTGTTAACATTAGTTGAGGGCAAAGCAAAAGTGCTTGACTTAAACTGAATCATACTTATAGGCCTATTGAATTCAATGGGATTTAAGTTACTGATAGGTACGATAAAATTTGGATCCAGTCCATAGCTGGATATGTTCTGGTTTGCTAAATCATATTTTAGATAAAAAATAGTTAGACCACTTCCCCAACCTTACCAGCATGAGTCCTGATCTCATTAAACTGACAGTTTCTATTACATCTGAAACAGAATTTAACAGTGGTTGTTACTAGGATCTGAGTTCACAATGGCTGATCTGATCCTGGGTAATAACAGATATTAAACTATAGTTGCTTGTTTTGCACATAATTACTGTACCTGTTTTTTGAGAACAGAACTGAAGCATTAAAGTTGGTGCTTGGAGGAAGGAAGAAATGTGGAACCAACCCTTCTTCCTTAATAAACAATGTGTGCGTTTTCCCCCCACAGCTAGGAAACATGCTGAGTATTTATTGTCAAAAGTAGTTCAGGTAGAGACGTTTAAAGGTCTGGGGCTGTTAATTAGGACAATTTCATCTTTCTTGCAGTGTAGGAATCTCATCTGTATGGGCTAACAGCTTTCTCTGCTTTGTGCATAACAGAAGCAGTAGTAGTATCAAGTCCTTCCCTTTGGGGTGGTCTCCATTCTATGTGTGTTTCCCAAACTCAAAGATACAAACCTGTTACAGATCTTCACCTTCAGAGTATACATCTGTTATCTGTCTCTACTTGAACCAGAAAATGATGAGATGTTTAGCTGATAATGAGGAGTCAGGTTCTTGTCAACAGCCAAAAGTCCTCTCAGTCCCAGAAGCCACTTACCTTGGACTTACTCTGAACATGCCACACCCTCAGAGGAGGATGTTGCTGTTTCACGGCTGCTTGGAATGCTTGAACCTACACTTAATTCAGGATGTTTTCAGAGGGGAAGTTTCCGAAGGCATAGAGTACCGCTTCTATAGAGAAATGTTTTCATACAGGGTGGTGGGAATGATGTGGAGTATAATAAAAATGTAGACGCTAAGGCCCAGCATGGTGATGGCCTTAACTGACAATTAAGGGATCATTTAACAGCCCCTAGGAGGTGGCAAGTGATCCTAAATGACCAATGTTAAGATCACTGTGATACTCGGTGTGGTGTAGTGGACAGAGTGATGAACTAGGACTCAGGAGGCTGGGGTCTGTATCCCCACTCAGTCATGGAAACACTGAGGATATGGAACTGGTAAAACTACTCCTTAAATATCTCACTTACCTTGAAAGCCCTGCTAGGGTCTCTATAAGTTGGTTCTAGCTTGAAGGTACAAAACAAAACAAAAATCACCATGTTGATTCTCTGCTATTTCACATCATCCCCCATGTGTGGGTGGGTGAACAGCATCATTTCATGAAGGCCCGCTGCTTTCAAAAGGATGAAGGGAACTACCCATCACAGGGTACTTTCTTCCTCTGAGAAGACTGGGCTTTATGCCAGAGCTGGAGAATGTATGGCCCTCCAGGTATTATTGGACTTCCAGTCCCATCAGCTTTAAGTGATCAGTGGTGATAAGGATGGTGGGAAGAATAAGTCAGCATCTGGAAGGCCACACATTATGCATGCCTGCTTTATGTAGCAGTTCTATTGTTCCCCAGCAGCCCACAGGCCTTTAATTTGCTTTGTGCAGCAACTCAGTTTATTTACAACTCAGGAAAATGTAAACAGTTCTGTACTGAGACTGTTGCCAATTGTAAAGACTCTGCTAGCAATGCATTTAAGCCTTCAAGTATTATTAGATCTCTAATAATATAACAAACTATAGTGAGGTTTCAGTTGTTATAAAAAATTCATTAAAGGTTAAAAAGGTTGGCAGGAACTCTGGAAATCTCTATTAAAAACGCCATGTTGTTGAATAACACTAACTTCATTTAAAATGACTGTGTTTAGCATCAGACTCCAATAGTTTTCACATTATTGGACTCGCATCACTCATTTAATATGATGAAGTAACCAATAAGATTTAGTCAACTAGAATTAAAATGTTGGGGGGGGGTAGCAAATCATTGGGATGTTAGCTGAAAATGTGCATATATGTCACACAGAATGTCTTTCTTATCATCCCAAAACTCTCAAGAATGTATTGGTGTTTCAACTATCTAGGCCAGTGATGGCGAACCTTGGCACACAAGCAGAGCACTACCCCCCCACTACCCACCCCACAGCCAAACCTTTAACTGCACCATCGTCAGCTACCTCTTCCTGCTATTTTTCTCCTGCTATTTTCCTTGGTTCCGGCACTCCTTCTTTAAAAGATCAGAGACAAGCCTGCTTGATTGGTTACAGCTCCCCCCCCCCAGCAATCTGGGGCTTGTGAAGGACTGCTTCAAGCAGGAGGGAAAGGCTTAAGGAGGGAAGAAACGTGTGACTTCAAATGTATGTACACAATGGAGGGACCAAGGTGTGTGTGAGAGAGGGAGGAAGGGAGGGAGGGAGGGGGTAGAGAGCGCGAGAGAGTGGGAGGGAAAGCTCCAGTTGAGGGAAGGAATGTGCGACTTCATCAAGCTTGTTTAAATGTATGTACAAAATGGAGGCTGTGGGTGTATGTGAGGGGGGAGAGAGAGTGACTCAAAACTGTTAATCTCCACTGCATTTAGCATTGCAGTTTGCTGGGAACAGCAGATGTCTGACGTGTGTATCAATTGTGTTTCTCTATTTCTCATCAGCAAAGTAGGCAAGAGTATCACAGTTTATTCCCAAAATCTGAATCCCAGTCTTTCTGTCCTGGTCCTACTTTGACGGCAACACCGAAGAAAAGACTGGGTTTCTTTATTGTGTCAATCCATCTCATGTGTAGTCTTCCTCTTTTCCTACTACTTTGCACTTTTTCCTGCATTGCTGCCTTTTCCAGTGAGCTTGTCTTCTTATGTGATTCGCCAGGCTCCCTTGCTGGGTGTTTTCAAGGGCCAACTTAAGACCTGGCTGTTTAGGCAGGCCTCCCCCTTTGTCAAGTGCTTGAGCGTTACTTTTTTATTTTAATTTTCTGTCTTTATTTTTTATTTTTTTATTTGATCGTTTTTCCATCTTGAGCTACATTATTATTACTATGTTTAAATTGTGGTGTATAGAGTGTTTGAACTGTTTTAATCGTGCTTTGTTATAAGATGCCCAGAGTAGACCCTGTCTACATGGGCGAGATATAATTTCAATAAATAAATGAAATAAATTATGATGCCACTGTAGTGCAGTACCCTTTGTTTGGTCATTTTAGCTTGTAATGAAAGTCCACACTTCATTTGCTTTACTTATCTTTCTGACAAGTCATGCTATCTGTAACAGCCTCCATCTACCTCACAAAGGTAGCAAAAATCAAACCATTACAGTTTCCCCACATTTCAAAACTTACCATCAACATTCAGGCATACTCTTACAATGCTATATTATTCAAAATATACTTACACTCAATAAATCATTTGCATATATACAGAACAACATTTCAGTAAACACATATTTTCATAACTTTTAAACACAGTAACCAATTTCAAGAGTTCATCTTTTCATCTTCCGTCGTCTGGTCTTCGGGATAAGGCGTCAGCAACACAGTTCATA